AGCGAACAAGCCAACGACCACCATGAATCCTCTATCTACAGACCATCAAACACTTCCTTCTATCCCTTCCAAATCCGTAGTTTGTAGCTACCCTTTCGCCACATGCATGACTGTACAGATCACCGACACTCGCTGGATCACGAGATCGGTCCTTCTTTTCTCACCAACAATATCACGCCACAGAATCGTGACTCACTTGACTACACAGCTCACAGTCGAGTCCTTGATCCCGAAACTCGCTTTCTTTCCCTGCACGTACAAATCACGACACACAAAGGTGACTCATACATCGACTATCTACCGTCCGGTAAGGTAGCAACAGATCATGTGCTGACACCCACACACACGCAAAAGTTCCCACATATGGGATAACAGCACAGCAACACAACACAACTCAACAGAGCCTCGCACGGAGCAGAGCCGCTCAGGACTTTACGGCGCTTCACTCACGGATATCCAGGACTACGTGTGGCTGCTACAACAGCGAAGAAGACACGAAACCTGCATCCGGACTTACAACAGGATTTATCAAACTGTATCTGCAAAACGATAAGTCCCTTGTTTGCATATATATCTGTTGTAATAAGTTTAGTCAACAAGCTGATATTGTTAGTGCTCTACGTTTTCTCGTTCATACAACTGGTTTTCCGGTTCCTCGAAGATGTTCAAGGTAGTGGATTTCACACGGTATGCACGTACACATTTTCGAGGACATATATAGACACAGCTGTACCAAGTTCACGTGACCGTGTATTCTCAAAATCCTATCTACGCTCAAAGATATCTGCATTCCGAAAGATGTGCGTACACGGGGCGTCCGATAGCTTATCCTACTTTTCTATCTACTCCCGTTTCAGTTTCATCCTTGATCCATCGGACTGGTACGGTACCTAAATTCACCTAACATGGTAGAATAAGGATCGGACAGACGCTTGAAAAGTCCTGGCATCCGGAAATTACATCACAACTCACCATAATCGCATCCAGATTTATGGGTATCTAAAGAAGACACAATTATGAGATTGACAAGAAATATCGGAGTAGATTTCACACAGTATTGAAAGTGGAAAATCGCTGAAATAATCAGCTTGACTTCCCAGATGAGTTCACGTCAAGCTCCGACTGGTGAACATAGGTCGACAAAATTTACATCTTACAGGATGTCAGCTGGTCGGTGAGTCAAGCTGAGATCCCAGAACCAAGAAGTTAACTGATTTCTACGGCCTGATTGTTTGAGTGGACCAACAAATTTACCACTTTCCGTAATGAGTTTTGTCAGTGTCTATATTGGTCAATCCACTCCGTTATGGATTACCGCTTGAAAGTTCTTCACAATAAGGAGGCACACAAATACACACGTCCCATCTCTATACAACCTGTCAAC